GCCAGGGACAAAGTTGTGGAAAAGTACAGATCAGGGTTGGGATATAAAAAAATATCTGAAACTTTGAACATCCCACAGTGCACCATTAAATCCATTATTAAAAAATTGGAAGAATATGGCACCACAACAAACCTGCCAAGAGAGGGCCGCCACCAAAACTCACGGCCCAGGCAAGGAGGGCATTAATCAGAGAGGCAACAAAGAGACCAAAGATAACCCTGAAGGAACTGCAAAGCTCCACAGCGGAGATTGGAGTATCTGTCCATAGGACCACTTTAAGCCGTACACTCCACAGAGCTGGGCTTTACGGAAGAGTGGCCAGAAAAAAGCCATTGCTTAAAGAAAAAAATAAGCAAACACGTTTTGTGTTCGCCAAAAGGCATGTGGGAGACTCCCCAAACATATGGAAGAAGGTACTCTAGTCAGATGAGACAATTGAGCTTTTTCTCCATCAAGGAAAACGTTATGTCTGGCGCAAACCCAACACCTCTCATCACCCCGAGAACACCATCCCCACAGTGAAGCATGGTGGTGGCAGCATCATGCAGTGGGGATGTTTTTCATCGGCAGGGACTGGGAAACTGGTCAGAATTGAAGGAATGATGGATGGCGCTAAATACAGGGAAATTCTTGAGGGAAACCTGTTTCAGTCTTCCAGAGATTTGAGACTGGGACAGATGTTCACCTTTCAGCAGGACAATGACCCCAAGCATACTGCTAAAGCAACACTCGAGTGGTTTAAGGGGAAACATTTAAATGTCTTGGAATGGCCAATTGAGAATCTGTGGTATGACTTAAAGATTGCTGTACACCAGCGGAACTCATTCAACTTGAAGGAGCTGAAGTAGTTTTGCCTTGAAGAACAGTTGATAGAGCATGGCGTTTGCAACGCCAGGGTTGTGGGTTCGATTCCCACGGGGGGCCAGTATAAAAAAATATATATATGTATTCACTAACTGTAAGTCGCTCTGGATAAGAGCGTCTGCTAAATGACTAAAATGTAAGTATAAACACAATTATTACTTGTTAGATATTACTGCACTGTCGGAGCTAGAAGCACAAGCATTTCACTACAGCCACAATAACATCTGCTAAACACGTGTATGTGACCAATAAAATTTGATTTGATCTTGATCATGTGTTGTCTCTTCTCTCTTTCTAGAAGCAATCAGTTACAAGGCAAAAATACAGATTGAGGCCTTCAATCAAACTGAGGAGGTTGTCCTATCATAATTAGGAAGCTAGCTAATGTTAGCTTGATCGTTAGCTAGCTAGCTAACAACTGTTAGCTAGCTAGCCATTTTCTGTGTTAATATCTCTGGCTGTGGTAACGTTAGCCTCGTGACCATGCTCGCAACGTTAGCTTACTGAAGTGTTGTCGCAGAATATAACTAAATGTATGTTTTTTTGTCGACGTTTGGCTAGCTAGCCAACTATGTCAGTGTCTGTAACGGTATCTAACTAGCTAGCTACCTTAGTCTGACACTTCTTCTGGACAGTCTTGGACACTGTTTCACTCATTAGCTAAGTTAGCTGGCTAGCTAAGTTACCATAGCTAGATTTAAATTATTCTCCATCTGGATTAATTTAACATTTTAGTCATTTAGCAGACGCTCTTATCCAGAGCGACTTACAGTTAGTAAGTGCATACATTTTTCATACTGGGCCCCCGTGGGAATTGAACCCACAACCCTGGCGTTGCAAGCGCATTGCTCTACCAACTGAGCTACACGGGCATTTAACCAAGACATTTGGCAGGCTTATTTCATGCTTGCATGGTGATTGATTGAGTTTGCTAGCATTACTGTACTGGTTTTCAATGGTTTCTGACAGTGGCAACTTTAGTCAGACTTGTGAAGTTGAAGAGGATGGATGCAAATTCTGTTAGCTACTGTTGAAGTCGGAAGTTTACATACACTTAGGTTGGAGTCATTAAAAATCGTTTTCAATCACTCCACATATTTCTTGTTAACAAACTATAGCTTTGGCAAGTCGGTAAGGACATCTACTTTGTGCATGACACAAGTAATTTTTCCAACAATTGTTTACAGACAGATTATTTCACTTATAATTCACTGTATCACAATGCCAGGGGGTCAGAAGTTTACATACACTAAGTTGGCTGTGCGTTTAAACAGCTTGGAAAATTCCAGAAAATTATGTCATGGCTTTAGAAGCTTCTGATAGGCTAATTGACATAATTTGAGTCAATTGGAGATGTACCTGTGGATGAATTTCAAGGCCTACCTTCAAACTCAGTGCCTCTTTGCTTGACATCAAGGGAAAATCAAAAGAAATCAGCCAAGACCTCGGAAAATAAATTGTAAACCTCCACAAGTCTGGTTCATCCTTGGGAGCAATTTCCAAACGCCTGAAGGTACCACGTTCATCTGTACAAACAATAGTACGCAAGTATAAACACCATGGGACCACGCAGCCGTCATACCGCTCAGGAAAGAGACGCGTTCTGTCTCCTAGAGATGAACGTACTTTGGTGCGAAAAGTGCAAATCAATCCCAGAACAACAGCAAAGGACCTTGTAAAGATGCTGGAGGAAACAGGTACAAAAGTATCTATAGCCACAGTAAGACGACTCCTATATCGACATAACCTGAAAGGCCGCTCAGCAAGGAAGAAGCCACTGCTCCAAAACCGCCATAAAATAGCCAGACTACGATTTGCAACTGCACATGGGGACAAAGATCGTACTTTTTGGAGAAATGTCCTCTGATCTGATGAAACAAAAATAGAACAGTTTGGCCATAATGACCATCGTTATGTTTTGAGGAAAAAGGGGGTTACTTGCAAGCCGAAGAACACCATCCCAACCGTGAAGCACGGGGGTGGCAGAATCATGCTGTGGGGGTGTTTTGCTGTAGGAGGGACTGGTGCACTTCACAAAATCGATGGCATCATGAGGAAGGAAAATTATGTGGATATATTGAAGCAACATCTCAAGACATCAGTCAGGAAGTTAAAGCTTGGTTGCAAATGGTTCTTCCAAATGGACAATGACCCCAAGCATACTTCCAAAGTTGTGGCAAAATGGCTTAAGGACAACAAAGTCAAGGTATTGGAGTGGCCATCTCAATCCTAAACTTCTGACCCACTGGGAATGTGATGAAAGAAATAAAAGCTGAAATAAATCATTCTCTCTACTATTATTTAGACATTTCACATTCTTAAAATAAAGTGGTGATCCTAACTGACCTAAAACAGGGAATTTGTACTCTGATTAAATGTCAGGAATTGTGAAAAACTGAGTTTAAATGTATTTGGCTAAGGTGTATGTGAACTTCTGACTTCAACTGTAGCTAACGTTAGAGTTTACCTTAAATTTGATGTAGCCAAGTTAGTTTAGCTAGCTAGCTATGTTTCTAACATTTCTTTATTTCTGTACTTAAATGCAGAGTCAAGGCCAGTGAATGAACAGCTTCGTAAAGATATGCTGTGGAGCCTGGCCTCTTTTATTCCAAAGTTTGAGTAAAAATGAGAAATTCCTTTTTGAGGGTGGGGACAGAGCTTTGTGGGTGGGGTGACTGATTCTCATTGACCCTGTGTAAAACAGTATCTATGTCTTCCACATTGTCATCGATAACCAATCATACAACCTTAATGGAAACTTGAAAGACTTAACTTCACCAGAGCCTCTTAGAACCATGCAGACACTTTGGGACTAGGTACATTACATGCACAGCTACCATAGATAGTCTGGCCATTTTACCGTACTTGCTTTATTGGTCATTTGCACAAATATTCTGTCACAGTGACCAACCTGACACACAATAGACACATCACAGGCTGGGAGCAGCTCATGGGCACTTAGGGGTAAAATGCTTTGCTCAATGGCACAACAGCAGTAGGTTGATGGATCACTCCCTGCATATTTCCCCGCAGGCAGCTCAGGGGTTCGAATATCGGCCTGCCTTTCTGATCTCGAAGCTACTGCCGCCCCTATTACTTTTGCTCTTTCCTCACCCTTGCCTTTGTTCAACCATTTCACCTGGCTTATCAACCCTTCACTCAAAGTATTTAATTTAGAAATGTGGGTGAAATCATTCCTTACCATCCCCCCCGTAGCGGTTAAGCCTAGCGGTTAAGAGTGTTGGGCAAGTAACTGATAGTTCGCTGGTTCGAATCCCCAAGAAAAATCTGCCGTTCTGCCCTTGAGCAAGGCAGTTAACACCCAAAAACAACTGCTCCCCGGGTGCCGTGGATGTGGATTAGGGGAGCCCCTCTGCACCTCTCTGATTCAGAGGGGTTGGGTTAAATGCGGAAGACAAATTTCAGTTTAATGCATACAGTAGTGCAACTGATCAGGTATCCCTTTTGCAGCGGAAGAGGTGGACCAGGAAACGTTCTTGCTTTTGGACGACTTGACTATAGCCTGAAGTTAAAGAAGAACATAAAAGCCTTACACAGTGTGTATTCTGTAAACATCACCATTTTTATACACGAGGGGAGGTCCTTGGGACACACACATGATTACATAGGACTGTGGACACACCAAGCGACACACCAAGTGTCACGCCCTGACTCAGGGGACGCTTATATGTTGAGTCAGGGTGTGTATATTCTATGTTGTGTACTTCTATGTTTTCTATCTAGTATGGGTATTTCTATGTTGGCCGGTGTGGTTCCCAATCAGAGGCAGCTGTCGCTCGTTGTCTCTGATTGGGGACCATACTTAGGCAGCCTATTGGCACTAGTGGGTTGTGGGAACTTGTTCCGTGTGAGGTATGTTGTTTGTGTACCTTGGACTTCACGTTTCGTTTAGTTTGTTGTTTTGTCGTTGTTTATTCGGTTCAAATAAACATGTATGCATATCACGCTGCGCCTTGGTCTGACCCGTCTATGAACGAACGTGACACCAAGCTTGAGCAGTAGCCGGGTCTTGCCAGGTACATGTTGAAATATTTGTTGTGTATATTGAAAACTGATTGTTAAAATACATGTATAATTAATTGAATACTTTGTGCTCACAACACAAGGCAGCCCAGATGACCAAGTGGCTGAACAAGAGCTGGCCGGCAAACCAGGTTGCAGAGGACATGAAGGAGACTGCGATCCAGAGGGCTCAGTGGACCAGACAGAATGGGGCCAAGACAGTCGAGATAGTCCGAGAGTATGAGCGTTTGCTGGATACTCCATGCATGGTAAATTGTTTTACAAAAACATTAGGCTTGAATTTCATTCTGTTTGCTGTGATTAACTAGCCTGGCTGATGCGACCCACGTGACTCAGTGCAGGGAGAGCTGTGACCACACTGGTCTGGAAAGGAGGCTGTCGGTGTTTGAGTGAGAAAGACACAGAGGAGAGCCTACCAGTTAAAGCACAGCCCCTTTCATTATCGACGCATTGTGCCGACAACATCAAAGAGCCATTACAGACTCTGAAGTCAGGACTTCAAGAGTTAGGCATTAGCCAGACTAGTGATTAACTGCAATGGAAAAGTAATTGTTTCTGGCTACAGCATAACACAATTTGAAGTCATGTTGGGCAGAGTCTCACAAGCATTAGAAACAGCATTGGGTGTGGATCCGATGGGAATGTGGATCTGAGCAACTGTGATGTCATAAATGTTTGTGTAAATGTTAAGTTGTCTATTGTTTTTGTCAATGCATGTTTTTATTTGTAAAAAAATAAAAATACAACCCAAATAAAATATTACAAGAAAAGTAATTGTCTGCTTTACTACAGATTGCTCAGGACTTTTATATTTTAAACCAAGACATTATGTAGGTTTCCATCCAATTTGCGACAGATTTTCATGCGAATATTCTAAAATCTGCATAAAACAATATGCATATTTTCCCACCAGAGATATTTCCGGCAAAATGACTTTTTGCGGCTAAAAGGCTGTGCGTGATGACGTCGTGTACATAAAAATTACTTTTGGGGTTAAATTCCAATGTACCGAATAAAATAAAATGCTAGTTAAATGGGTTTCCATCGCATTTTCAACTCTACTGATGGTTTTGTCACAAACTGTTGCGTTATATAGCGAATGTGCCCACACTGGTCTTGGCACATGCACTCTAGCCAACAGCTTGCACATACAGAAGGGTAGGCCATCTACATTTTGAGATTATTATGGATAAGAGCAATATTATTTGTATTTGTCAAACGACAGCCAAGCATTGATCATCATGTCACCAGAATAAGACCCCAAACTCATCACCTTGCACATTCACCATCCTGTGAAGTTCATCATAATTTATTTAATCTGTAGCCTAATAAACTGCATGCTTTCCCGAGTCGTAGTAGGAGGACCACACGACATACCATTGTGTGAGTCCAAGTTTACTTCAATATGATGGTTATTATATCAATATTTGCACATAAAGGAGTTTCCACTGCCATTTCTCGCATAAGTAATTTTAACGACACAAAAAGATCCCACCATGTCGAACAAACAAATTGTCTGTAGGCATTTATAAACTTGTACCGGCATTTCATGTTTCCATCAGCCCGGTCGTGACTTTTTTCATGCGTCGGGTAATTCATGGGAAACGTGGTTAGTGTTGTATAAATGAACCTATGAGCCCCAGCCCCAAATGAATGGAAGATCAAATCAATCAAATGTTATTTAAAAAGCCCTTTTTATATCATCAGATGTCACAAAGTGCTATACAGAAACCCAGCCTAAAACCCCAAACAGCAAGCAATGCAGATGTAGAAGCACGGTGGCTAGGAAAAACTCCCTGGAAAGGCAGAAACCTAAAGAGGAACCAGGCTCTGTGGGGTGGCCAGTCCCCTTCTGGCTGTGCCGGGTGGAGATTATAACAGTACATGGCCATTAAGGCCAGATTTTTCTCCAAGATGTTCAAACTGTCATGAACCCTGCATCCTGAGTCGGTTCCTGCCTGTGTTGCCATTTTTCTGCTCGGAATCTCCAGTTTCCTGAGGGTTCGTGAACGCTCCCGGCCTGGTTGCCGGGCGACGTTGCTAGGCGGGAGATCTCCCGATTAACCGCACCTGCATCTCATCAGCGGTCTGCACACCTGGTCCTGATCATCACCCTTCTTAAGCCCTGACCTGACATCCATTCCCTGCCGGATCGTTAGCCATGAACAGTATGTTTGTCAGTGTATCAGCCTTGGAGTTCTAGCGTTAGTTTTGTTGTTTTGCACCTTGATGGCTTGCCGTGTACTTACCTCCGTTTTGTTTCTATCTGCAGTCAATCTCCCGGAACCTTCACCCAACCCCTGCCTGGTTGTCGGCGGCTGCCGAGCCATTCTTGGATCTACCACTGCACCTCCACCAACTCATCTCCGCCGTCCGCTCTGTCCCCTGGATTATTCTACATCGTTTTTGGAATCTGTTAAATAAATACTCACCTTCGTTTCAACTCACCTTGTCCTGGTCTGCTTCTGGGTTCTGGCTTAGTAAACCGTGACAGAACGATCCGGCCAGAAATGAACCCAGCGGACCTGGACTCTGTTCGCCATGCCATTACCCATCAGGAGAAGATGTTGGGACAACATAGCACGGCGCTACAGGAGATAGCTTTGTCCGTTCGGAACTTTTCTACCAGTCTGACGAAGATCCAGGCTCAGCTCAGTTTGCCGGTGGAGAATCCACGACCGGTTTCACCCATCTCGCCTGCCGCTTCTGGAGCTGTGCCCTTCCGTGAGCCCAAGGTTCCGACGCCGGATAAATATGAGGGGGAGTTGGGAAGATGCCGTTCTTTCCTTATGCAGTGTGGATTAGTGTTCGATCTACAGCCCCACTCTTATGCCACAGACAAGGCTAGGATAGCCTTTGTCATTGAGTTGCTGCGTGGTCAAGCTCTGGAGTGGGCTTCAGCCGTTTGGGAACAACAGGACACCTGCATGGCCTCATACCAGGAGTTCACGGCCGAGATGAGGAAGCTATTTGACCATCCCGTCCGAGGTATGGACGCAGCTAGGCGCCTGTTTTCGCTTCGCCAAGGAACTCGCAGCGTTGCCGACTTCGTGATCGAGTTCAGGACTTTGGCTGTGGAGAGTGGGTGGAATGAGGAGTCTCTGCAAGCGGCCTTTTACCAGGGGCTGTCGGAGCAGCTCAAGGATGAGTTGATCTCCTATCCGGAGCCTAGTGACCTGGACAGCTTGGTAGCCTTGTCTATTCGGGTGGATAACCGAGTTCGAGAGAGAAGGAGGGAGAAGCAATGGGGCCCGTCCACTTGTTCCCGGCGGTAGTCAAACTGCTCGGCTCGCTAAAGTTGGGAGGACTTTTAGCGAGCCAGTTTCAACCACTCAGTACCTCTGTCAGACCCCGTTTCCCGGCTACCCTCATGAACAGGAATCAGAGTCTAGCGATTAACGCTTTCGTCGATTCAGGTGCCGATGGAAGCTTTATTGATGCCGAAGTGGTGGATACAGGGTGCTACTGTGTTCACCAAGCTAGACCTACGCAATGCGTATCACCTGGTCCGGATCAGAGAGGGGGACAAGTGGTTGACGGGTTTCAATACACCGATGGGTCACTTCGAGTATCAGGTGATGCCGTTTGGACTGACCAATGCTCCAGCAGTGTTCCAGAGTATGGTGAATGACGTCCTGAGAGATATGATCGGTCTCTTTGTGTTTGTTTACCTGGATGACATTCTTATCTTTTTGAAGGAACCTTCCAGCCACGTCCAGCATGTCAGGCAGGTTCTGCAGCGATTGTTGGAGAATCGCCTGTTCGTGAAGGCCGAAAAGTGCGAATTTCACGCCCACACTACATCCTTCCTCGCGTACATCATCTCCAGGGGAGAGATCAGGATGGACCAGGAGAAGGTTAGGGCGGTTCTGGAATGGGCCCAGCCCGGTACGAGATTGCAGCTCCAGAGGTTTCTGGGGTTTGCGAATTTCTATCGCAGATTCATCCGGGATTACAGCCGTGTGGCCGCTCCTTTAACTGCCCTGACTTCCAGTACCAGGACCTTCAGTTGGAACCCTGTGGCGGACCGAGCGTTCCTGGATTTGAAGAGGCGATTCACCAACGCACCGATTCTCTCTCAACCTGACACGGCCCGTCAGTTCGTCGTGGAAGTGGATGCGTCTGATGTGGGGGTTGGCGCCATCCTGTCCCAGCGACGCTCCACTGACGGGAAACTCCATCCCTGCGCCTACTACTCTCGTCGTCTTTCGTCTGCGGAGAGGAACTACGATGTGGGTAACCGGGAGCTTCTCGCGGTGAAGCTTGCCTTGGAGGAGTGGCGCCACTGGTTGGAGGGGGCGGAGCAACCGTTTATTGTCTGGACCGACCACAAGAATCTTGCTTACGTGCAATCGGCTAGACGTCTCAACTCCCGTCAGGCCAGGTGGGCTTTGTTTTTCGGACGCTTTCATTTTTCCCTGATGTTCCGACCTGGGTCTAAGAACGGCAAGGCGGACGCCTTGTCCCGGATGTTCTCCAAGACGGAGGAGAGTGGGGCCAAGACCGAGACGATTCTTCCCCGGAACTGTGTCGTGGGAGCAGTTATGTGGAGGATTGAGGAGGAGGTTATGGCGGCCCTTCGGACGCAGCCCGGTCCCGGTAACGGTCCACCCGGTTGTTTGTTTGTGCCTGAGTCGGTTCGTTCTGCTGTCCTCCAATGGTCCCACGCCAGCAAGATGGCTTGTCACCCTGGCGTGGCCCGGACGATGGCGTTACTTCGCAGACGATTTTGGTGGCCGGCCATGGGAGAAGATACTCGGAGGTTTGTTGCTGCCTGTCCAGTGTGTGCGCAGAATAAGAGTGCCAACCGGCCCAGCTCTGGACTACTTCACCCCCTCCCTATTCCCCGGCGACCATGGTCGCATCTGGCCCTGGACTTTGTCACTGGGTTGCCCTCTTCTGAGGGGAACACGGTCATTCTGACTATCGTGGACAGATTCAGCAAGTTCGCCCACTTTGTGCCCATTTTCAAGCTTCCCTCGGCCTCTGAGACGTCCGAGATCCTGGTTAGGGAGGTTTTCAGGGTCCACGGGTTGCCCAGTGACATAGTTTCCGACCGTGGCCCTCAGTTTACCTCTGCTGTCTGGAAGTCTTTCTGTTTGGCCATTGGAGCTACAGTCAGTCTCACATCTGGTTTTCACCCCCAATCTAATGGTCAGGCGGAGAGAGCCAACCAGAAGATGGAATCCACTCTACGCTGCCTTGTCTCCTCCAACCCCACCTCCTGGGTCTCTCAGTTGCCTTGGGTTGAGTATGCCTACAATACTCTCCCTACATCCGCCACTGGGATGTCTCCCTTCCAGTGCCTGTATGGCTACCAACCTCCCTTGTTTCCTTCTCAGGAGAAGGATCTCTCATGCCTGTCAGCCCATCGTCATTGCCACCGGACCTGGCATCGGGCCAGACAGGCCCCCTAGAGTTTCTGACCGGTATCAGCTGTTCAGGCCACCGGACCTGGCATCGGGCCAGAAAGGCCCTCCTTAGAGTTTCTGACCGGTATCAGCTCCAGGCGAATCGTCGCCGGATTCCCGCCCCCACCTATACCATCGGAGATAGGGTCTGGTTGGCCACACGGGATCTTCCTCTGCAGACTGAGTCTAAGAAACTGTCACCGAGGTTCATTGGTCCGTTTGTGGTGGAGAAGGTGATCAATCCTGTGGCGGATCAACTCAAGTTACCTAGAACGCTCAGAGTCCATCCCACCTTTCATGTCTCCTGCCTCAAGCCTGTTCTCCTCAGTCCTCTGTTACCCCCTCCACCTCCTCCTCCTCCCCCTCGGATGATCGGAGGTGGTCCTGCCTACACGGTGCGCCGCATTATGGATTCCAGACGGCGGGGCCGGGGTTTCCAGTATCTCGTGGACTGGGAGGGGTATGGTCCTGAAGAGAGGAGTTGGATTCCTCGGCGCCAGATCCTGGATGCTGACCTCCTTCGTGACTTCTACCGCCTCCATCCTGGCGCTCCGGGTAGTCCGCCCGGTGGCGTACTGTCATGAACCCTGCATCCTGAGTCGGATCCTGCCTGTGTTGCCATTTTTCTGCTCGGAATCTCCAGTTTCCTGAGGGTTCGTGAACACTCCCGGCCTGGTTGCCGGGCGACGTTGCTAGGCGGGAGATCTCCCGATTAACCGCACCTGCATCTCATCAGCGGTCTGCACACCTGGTCCTGATCATCACCCTTCTTAAGCCCTGACCTGACATCCATTCCCTGCCGGATCGTTAGCCATGAACAGTATGTTTGTCAGTGTATCAGCCTTGGAGTTTCTAGCATTAGTTTTGTTGTTTTGCACCTTGTTGGCTTGCCGTGTACTTACCTCCGTTTTGTTTCTATCTGCAGTCAATCTCCCGGAACCTTCACCCAACCCCTGCCTGGTTGTCGGCGGCTGCCGAGCCATTCTTGGATCTACCACTGCACCTCCACCAACTCATCTCCGCCGTCCGCTCTGTCCCCTGGATTATTCTACATCGTTTTTGGAATCTGTTAAATAAATACTCACCTTCGTTTCAACTCACCTTGTCCTGGTCTGCTTCTGGGTTCTGGCTTAGTAAACCGTGACACAAACGTTCATAGATGACCAGCAGGGTCAAATAATAATCACAGTGGTTGTAGAGGTTGCAACAGGTCAGTACGATGCAGGCATCAAACAGGGGATTGGGTGTTAATTGACGTAAATGGCTATAAAATATACAAAATAAATTGTGTGATGGCATTGTGAGTGTGCCTCCTTGCTTTGCACAAGTCCTCACATTCTAAAATCAAATAATTTCTCTAACAGGTTGGGACCAACATGGTTGAGTGCCTGCACCAGGTGGAGGTGACCAGACCCTACCCATTTGTGTTGGCTCTTGGGGACTGCTCACTGGTGTTTACAGTCATTAGTGGACTGGCATTGGAGCAAGGTACACTGCTTGGGGCACTGGATGTGTGCTTCAAGTCCTATTATGTGTTTGATATCTGTGCCCCAGCATGGGAATTCCTATAGACCACGGTGTATGCGTTGCCAGGAACAGAATCCCCCCACAGTAAGACTGTTGCGAGCATGTCTTTCTTCCACTGATCAATAGTGGTATCTCTCCGCAACGGAGTTAGGAAGGACGCCTGTATCTTTGTAGTGACTGGGTGTGATACACCATCCAAAGTGTAATTTATAACTTCACCATGCTCAAAGGGATATTCAATGTCTGCTTTTTTATTTTTACCCATCTACCAATAGGTGCCGTTCTTTGCGATGCATTGGAAAACCTCTCTGGTCTTTGTGGTTGAATCTGTGTTTGAAATGTACTGTTCGACTGAGGGACATTACAGATAATTGTATGTGTGGGGTACAGAAATACAAAAATCTTGTTAAACACTATTATTGCACACAGAGTGAGTCCATGCAACTTAGTGTGTGACTTGTTAAGCACATGTTTACTCCTGAACTTATTTAGGCTTTCCATGACAAAGGGGTTGAATACTTATTGACTCAAGACATTTCAGTTTTTCATTTTTTAGTAACTTGTAAAAATGTCCCTTTTGACATTATGGGGCATTGTGTGTAGGCCAGTGACAAAACATCTCATTTTAATCCATTTGAAATTCAGGCTGCAACAACAAAATGTGGAAAAAGTCAAGTGCTGTGAATACTTTCTGAAGGCACTGTGTGGTTGGAACGGAGAGGGACATAGAACGTAGTGTCAGAGAGTTGAGCATAAACCTCATTATCATTGTTTCCTGACAACACGACCAATACGAACGTTTTTTACCACCCGAGAACGTGAATGAATAGATCAATGGATGGATGAGCCATGAGTGTCTCATTCCAATGCTAATATGCTCTTAAGGCACGATTTATAGCTTTGTTAAATTAACTTTTCGTTGTTGTTTTTTATGCATTTGTGCCTGCTTTTTGCCTACAGTACGGTATGTGGCTCGTTTGCCTTTAGTTCAACTACTGAAGCGCGTTTTGATATGCTTTCATTCTATCACAACAATTCATTTTAAATACAAATGTTACATTTTGGGGATTGTGAAAAGTGCATTATGAATGAAATACAGTTATTAAGTAATGAGTCATTAGTCCATGTCCTTAGTAGAGCAACCTTCATATTTAATATTTTACTTGTTCTGTGTAACAATGTTTTAACTCGACCCAAATGTAGACCATTATTGTGTGGCAAAACAGCATGGTGTGTATGTATGTGTGCTGTCACCTAAGATAACCGAAGTGTGTCAAGGAATGTGAATATTTATTGATTAGCTCTGGCACTGTCTGATAGACAGATCTGTGTTAATACCACTTAAGACAGTGTCGGACGCATGCTTTGTTTTTCTCAGATTGCAATCTGAGTGTGCACATCAATTTCAACTGAGGCTTTAGTCTGATGTTTGGACTGTTTGGTTCATGAAATAATATAAATACATTCTAATAATCAACCCTATCTTATGAAATCTTACCTTGTGAAAAAATACATATTTAGACTTTGTTTCAATGTGCTATTTAAAACATTGATATATTCTCTGACGTGATATACAGTGGGGGAAAACATTTATTTAGTCAGCCACCAATTTCTCCCATTTAAAAAGATGAGAGAGGCCTGTAATTTTCATCATAGGTACACGTCAACTATGACAGACAAAATGAGAAAAAAATTCCAGAAAATCACATTGTAGGATTTTTAATGAATATATTTGCAAATTATGGTGGAAAATAAGTATTTGGTCAATAACAAAAGTTTCTCAATACTTTGTTATATACCCTTTGTTGGCAATGACACGGGTTTCAACGTTTTCTGTAAGTCTTCACAAGGTTTTCACACACTGTTGCTGTTATTTTGGGCCCATTCCTCCATGCAGATCTCCTCTAGAGCAGTGATGTTTTGGGGCGGGTCGCTGGGCAAACACGGACTTTCAACTCCCTCCAAAGATTTTCTTTGGGGTTGAGATCTGGAGACTGGCTAGGCCACTCCAGGACCTTGAAATGCTTCTTACGAAGCCACTCCTTCGTTGCCCGGGCGCGGTTGTGTTTGGATCATGTCATGCTGAAAGACCAGCCACGTTTCATCTTCAATGCCCTTGCTGATGGAAGGAGGTTTTCACTCAAAATCTCACGATACATGGCCCCATTCATTCTTTCCTTTACACGGATCAGTCGTCCTGGTCCCTTTGCAGAAAAACAGCCCCAAAGCATGATGTTTCCACCCCCATGCTTCACAGTAGGTATGGTGTTCTTTGGATGCAACTCAGCATTCTTTGTCCCCCAACACGACGAGTTGAGTTTTTACCAAAAAGTTATATTTTGGTTTCATCTGACCATATGACATTCTCCCAATCCTCTTCTGGATCATCCAAATGCACTTAGCAAACTTCAGACGGGCCTGGACATGTACTGGCTTAAGCAGGGAGACACTCTGGCACAGTAGGATTTGAGTCCCTGGCGGCGTAGTGTGTTACTGATGGTAGGCTTTGTTACACTTTGGTCCCAGCTCTCTGCAGGTTATTCACTAGGTCCCCCTGTGTGGTTCTGGGATTTTTGCTCACCGTTCTTGTGATCATTTTGACCCCATGGGGTGAGAACTTTGCGTGGAGCCCCAGATCGAGGGAGATTATCAGTGGTCTTGTATGTCTTTCCCTTTCCTAATAAATTTCTCCCACAGTTGATTTCTTCAAACCAAGCTGCTTCCCTATTGCAGATTCAGTCTTCCCAGCCTGGTGCAGGTCTACAATTTAGCTTCTGGTGTCCTTTGACAGCTCTTTGGTCTTGGCCATTGAGTTTGGAGTGTGACTGTTTGAGGTTGTGGACAGGTGTCTTTTATACTGATAACAAGTTCAAACAGGTGCCATTAATACAGGTAACGAGTGGAGGACAGAGGAGCCTCTTAAAGAAGAAGTTACAGGTCTGTGAGAGCCAGAAATCTTGCTTGTTTGTAGGTGACCAAATACTTATTTTCCACCATAATTTGCAAATAAATTCATTAAAAATCCTACAATGTGATTTTCTGGAGAAAAAAAATCTCAATTTGTCTGTCATAGTTGACGTGTACCTATGATGAAAATTACAGGCCTCTCTCATCTTTTTAAGTGGGAGAACTTGCACAATTGGTGGCTGACTAAATACTTTTTTCCCCACTGTATGTTCTGAAATGCAGGCAATAGAGATTCATTATTTGAAACTGTATGTTGATTGTGTGTGTAGGAAAGGGAGGGGCTGGGATGGTAGAGAAGGCACAAATATGCAAAATTGAAATTAGGATGACACTGAAAATAACCCAAGAATTACATAAATTACCCTAAATTAATTTACCCAGCAGTTGGGTCAAGTGCTCAACGCAAGGCGCTGGGTTAGAAGCACAACCCGCAGGGTTGAATTAACCCAATGCTGTATTTGTCCAATATTGACCCAGTGCTGGGTTGTTGAAATTACCCAAATTGGGTTATTTGTAACCCAGCATTTAGTAACAATTCATTTAGGAAAAATATGAATTGCCATATTAGGCATAACTCCATTTTTACCTTTTAAGATGCCAAATTATAAATTGTTTTCAGTAATTGTTTCCAGTATCCTAGTTCTGTTTTCTGATTGTTTCAGTACATGCATTCAACAAGCTTTGGACGAAGGACTTCCACAGGGCCGCCATATCCAAAGTTCACTCAAAAAGGCAATAGTTCTGAACTTGGTTTGATATAGTTTGTTGTTTTTAATTATAAAATTGAGTTAATTATGTTCAAAGTGGCGCAGTGGTCTAAGGCACTGCATCGCTGTGCCACTACCGATCCTGGTTCGAATCCAGGCTCTGTCGTAGCTGGCTGCAACCGGGAGACCCATGCGGCGGCGCACAATTGGTGCAGGGTAGGGGAGGGAATGGCCGGCAGGGATGTAGCTCAGTTGGTAGAGCATGGTGTTTCCAACGCCAGGGTTGTGGGTTCGATTCCCACGGGTGGTCAATATAAAAAATAATGTATGCACTAACTGTAAGACGCTCTTGTAAAGAGCGTCTGCTAAAATGACAAAAAATATATTTTAAACTTCCATTGGCTAATCTATTTCTCAGTTATCACTTGGCTCATGTAAACAATGCTGTAGTTGTCCCTTTTAAACCTCCTAAGGTCAACATCCCTATAGTGTTCACATTTCTTTCATGTAAATGTTGTAGCTACATAAAAATACTAAACACTTTATTTGGGAAATATCCAGTCTTTGCTATTTTCTTCATTACCATGCTGATGATTTCAAGTTTTATTGTTTCTGTTAGACATTGAATCCATGTTTAGTATATTTACTACATTTGTTTTTTTTCTCTATGAAGTAAGTTCATTTAAAGTCATGTGATTTACATAGATACATTTCAATGTTTAACACACTAACCAAAAACCTGATCTGCTAAATGACTCAAATGTAAATGTACTGAGTTTGCAGCCACACGTTTCCCAGAATTGTTTCCCAGAAGTTCACAAGTTGCTGCAAAATTTCCGCTACAGTTTGCCACAAAACTAATTTGCATGTGAAAATTTGAGCTTGCGGCAAATTGGCCAAAGGTTTGCCACAACTGTTTGCCAGAAGCCTGTTTTTTTTGGTAATGGTACTTGTTTTATCAGTGTTTCTTCGCTTCTGAATCTGTCTTTTCAGCCAGCAAGTGGGTCTTAGTTTATGAGCTGTAGTAACGAGTGACTTTTGTTGTATTACATAGCCTACGTCACTGGAGGCTGGAAAGTCCCGTCTATTTCATTTGCTGCAAGGCCCGTCACTTCTTGGCCGAAAGATATGCATCACTGTCAAACGAAGTACAACTCTGGAAATCTATCTGTACCCACATAAACTAGTCCCGGCATCATTCTATGACAAACACAGAAGGTTTTATATTGAGTTCAATAGAAGAAAACAGAGAGAGAGGGAGAGAGACTGTCAGTTCCTTAATATAGCCATTGGCTGTATTATACAGCCAAAACATTAAGGAACTGGCAGTCTCTCTTTGTTTTCTTCCATTGAATTATATGTAGCCTAATATTTAAACACTTAGCTAAGTGGGCAGGGGGGGACACCTGACAGGCACTAATTAGAAATATGTAGTTAGGTTGTTATAAGGTATTATTATAAGCCAATTATGATCTATAATTCATTTATTCAGTGATTTTCTTTGTCAAAATTGTGTTTATTCATTCACAACTAGGCTGGGTAACACTTCAGTTTAAGGATATGTAATAAACCATTTATTAATAATTACTCCCACATAAATAATATAATATAATATGCCATTTAGCAGACGCTTTTATCCAAAGCGACTTACAGTCATGCGTGCATACATTTTTGTGTATGGGTGGTCCTGGGGATCGAACCCACTACCTTGGCGTTACAAGCGCCGTGCTCTACCAGCTGAGCTACAGAGGACCACAAAATAACAATTTACTCATTAGTTTGCAGTCCCTAATCTAAAGTGAGTGCTATTTATACTTTATAAAATAGGTTGTTTGGATCCTAGGGTGTTATAGCACCACAATCCCTGCATTACATGGGTAATGCCTGTTAACAGTTCCATTAGATTTATCAATGCGCATCCACTGTCCTACAGCCCAGCCTCCACTGTCAAAAAGCCAAAGACAATATTTCCCCATGCTACTAGCCTAGCATTTGGTACAGCGGGGGTTAATATAAGCCTTGCTGTGTGCCTATCTGACCTGTGCAACATGTTGCAGGTTTATATTTTTCCATCTCCACCATGCATATGAACATGACGAGACTGACAGATTCTCTGAGCCAGGCAAATTCATTTATCAGGATCATTATAATGGATATTTTCCAAAGAAATAGAAATAGAAACAAAGGTAAAACAAACAAAAATGCACATAGTTTGCTGTCATTTCAGCTGCTTTATGTGATTGTGTGTTAACTTGCCTTTAACTGGCTAGGTAGCTAGCTAGCAAAGGATAAGTAACATTCACCTAGCTATCCTCCATAACAGTATTATCGACTTGACCATCAGCAGTTTTTTGCCTATTTATACATTATTTATTGAAGTTCTTGTCTCTTCATCATTGAACCTCTGATAGCTAGCCATCTAGTTACATGCCAATGATTTGTTCGGCATAGCAACATGGAATGAATAGAATGACCGACTGGATCAAAACATCCCAAAATGAATTAACGACCAGCCTGTTTGGTTAGCAACTTTAGAACCTCACAACTAACAACTGGCTTTTGCCTGGACTATATATCGTCTGGTGGAAGAATGAAATAAAACAAATGTACTCATTAAAACAAAGTTAATGAAAACATGTCGTTAATCCTTTTTTAAAATGTTGGTAACCGTTTTATAAAAGCAAGGCCCTCGAATCCGGGGTTTATCGGCTTCGCCTCGTGCCTAATATCAGCTCTTAGTTGGGAGTTATCACACGATAATCCCCGGGTTCTCATGCCTTATTGCTTAATTATAAATATCAAAATGACCAGTGTAATTTCTCACAAAAAGATGGGCATGACATTGGTAGACATTCCAACAGTACCTGGTAAAAGAATAAGCACACAACATGTTTAAGGATATACACTGAGTATATAAAACATTAACAGCTCCTCTTTCCATGACATAGACTGATCAGGTGAATCCAGGTGAAAGCTATGATCCCTCATTAATGTCACCTGATAAATCCATTTCAATCAGTGTAGATGAAGGGGAGGAGACAGGTTAAAGAAGGATTTTTTAACCTTAGACAATTTAGATATGTATTGTGTATGTGTGCCATTCAGAGGGTGAATGGGAAAGACAAAATATTTAAGTGCCATTGAATGGGGTATGGTAGTACATTTTACATTTTGGTCATGTAGCAGACACTCTTATCCAGAGCGACTTACAGTTAGTGAGTGCATACATTATTATATATATTTCTATTTTTTTCATTGTGGCCCCCCGTGGGAATCGAACCCACAACCCTGGCGTTGGAAACACCATGCTCTACCAACTGAGCAACATCCCTGCCGGCCATTCCCTCCCCTACCCTGGACGACGCTGGGCCAATTGTGCGCCGCCCCATGGGTCTCCCGGTCGCGGCCAGCGTATGCATATGATGATGTGGGCTGGTGTGGCTAAAATGCTACTGTAGGGCTGAATTTTTGTTCCAGTCCACCCCTGACCTCTCATTTTCCATGACAACTATTACTAATCTTGGGGAGTGAACGTGACCGCCGGATCCTTTAAAAAATAAATTATTTAAAAGTCATTTAGCAGACGCTCTTATCCAGAGCAACTTACATGAGCAATTAGGGTTATGTGCCTTGCTCAAGGGCACATCGACAGATTTTTCATCTAGTCGGCTCAGGGATTAGAACCAGCAACCTTTCGGTTACTGGCACAACGCTCTTAACCACTAAGCTACCTGCCGCTATACTATACTTGAGGTGTATAGTGTGACACTATCTATGTCCAACCTTGCTCCCCTTAACAACATGGGAATGGATGTCTCCAACACGCCACCAAGACATTCATATGCGGGGGACCTGTGCCGCAAAAAAAAAGATGTGACAGATATAGGAGACAGCTAGGTCACTCTGCATTGATGTTTCCTTGGAGAAATAAAATTCAGAGGGGCAGAGCAATGTGAATAGCTGTCAAGTGTGTGCGAGGGGAACAGGGTGAAATGTATCGTTCGTTTAGACACATCCATAACGGAACGTGTTAATGACAAATGGTCCGCTTGGCTTATTTGTGAATGGCTGTCATTTCCCTCTGTTCCACTTATCACCAGAGCTTCACCTCTTTTCTATTTCTATATTTCGAGAGAGCAGGTCCTCTGTCAGGTTTTCGCATGGCTCAATTATATGGCTCATGGATATACTGTGAAACATATCCAGCACGCCCTGACGATTACACGTGAACAAGCCTAACTGGTTTGTTAAAAGCCATATTTCATGAGAGAAAATGTATTCTTTTTTATCCAGATTACTTTTATCCAGATTACTTTTATCCAGATTACTTTTATCCAGATTACTTTCTACCCATTCAGACAATGAGGCTTTTATTTTCATGTTCAAGGATATGTCACAGTTCTGCCATTCATCAGCTTCTTATAGTTACAAATGTGAAGCTTAAATACTCCAAATAGCGCTACTATGGTTGTCATCGATTTTATGACTAAATAACTAAAGCACGAAAAAATGTGGACAGTGTTTTTGGTCGGCACCCAAACGCTTACTGTAACCAAAGCCATGGACAATTGATTTAAATAATCTAAAAACAATTCAGATTGAGGCCTAAAATGAAGTTAATGTGGGATTCTGTGGTTGGACTGATTGACCTTGTCCTATTAAACATCTAATATAGGTTATTACTGAACAGGACCCTATGAAAAAATAACCAATAGGGGTGTAAACACGGGATATAAAGGCAACAACAACCACATGGAATGATGTCATGAAAAGGTTTTAAGAATAAGATTTCGCTTAGCCTAGTTTCAGATATTTTTGTGCCGTCTTGCCAACTCCCATGGTCATTGCAGACAGCCCAGACAGATCTGGGACCAGGCTCGGTTTCTAGGGAGAAGCACGGCTAAGGCCCTTTGATCCACTAGGAGTTAAAACATTGTATTGTAGATTAGTGATGCTCAAATGTTGGCCCCAGACCAAAACCTTCCTACCACCATTTACTTTGATCTTTGTCATGAATCATACATAGTGCATTATGATTTATTGATGAGTGAGGATACAATTTATTGAATGATACACGATATGTATCGATACAGGGATGTTAAAATGATACATATGTATAATTTCCATCTGTGAATCAATATATCGATACCCACCTGTGGTGATACAAGGCCTAATAACCAAGATCATTCATTTTTAACCAGATCAGAACCCTGAGGAGTATCGCCAGCAGTGCAACATCAGCACCAACATGATATATCAAAGCAATAAACTGTTGTCTTCGTTCTCATGGCCAAGGGCTGGAGTTACTACTACAGTATTCCTCTCCTCCCTCCTCCCACGTTTCTTCTCTCCTCCTCCTCTCTGGGTGAGTCTACCTGGCAGTCCTCCCTGCAAGATGATTACAGTACATCCCAACTGCTCGAACGGGCACAAATCCCCCCCCCCCCCGTCACAACCACTACCTGTGCGTGTTTTGAAATGAGATCATGTAGGCTAATGCCTGCCATGATATAAAACACATGCATCTGCTTGGCAGCCATCACATTTGTTCATATTAAAGCAGGGAGCCATATGGTGGTGTGCCACCTCCAGCGTTCGTCTTTATACCGGTTAGAACTAGCTAGTTCCCCACGGACCGGCTACATGTGGTGTGACGCCGCTGCAGTGTGCAGCGCGGGCAAATTGATATGAGGCACTGATGAGTGAGTCGCTGCCTGTATGCCTCTTTTAGGCAGAGAATTAGCAGGAAGAGGGTCATCTGTCATTCATGCTGCACTGAGTCTGTCACTCATACAGGGCCTTTACCAGGGGAGAGATCTCTAATAAACACTGCAGGGAGGTGTGTGTGTGTGTGTGTGTGTGTGTTTGCGTGCCCTCATATGTGTGTGTGCGCTGGTTGGTGTCAACAGGTGCATGTGTGTTTGTGTGTGCGCGTTTGTGGTAACTTGATGCATATATTTCTAGTTTGGCCTCCATCAGTAGAGCGGAAATAATCATAAAAATGATATTAATACATAAACATTTTGTGTAGTGTTTACTCATTGTGTTGCTGAAGAATATTGCTGTAAGTGAACATTAGGGGAGGTATGAGGTAACAAATACATTTAGTTCTTAACTGTGAGAATGATACATGGATCAGATATTACATGTGAAAAGAAACACTGAAGTGGTGCTGCACTCGCTTTTTCAAAATCAAATAAAACGTAATTTGTCACATGCACCGAATACAAGAGGTGTAGACCGTAAAATGATTACTTACAAGCCCTTAACCAACAATGTCGGATGGTTGAGGGGCAGCTCTTGGGGAACTGTAGGGGGGATCATGGATCGCTGGTTCGGGTCCCCGTTTTTGACCTTGTGGGAGATCTGTCGACGTGCCCTTGAGCAGGGCGTTGACCCTGATTGCTTCTGTGTATCGCTCTGGATGGGGGTCTGTTAGATGACTAATGTGATGTAGTTGTTGAGCGGCTTCACTGCAAGTATATTGTATGTTTTAAATATTCTATAAATATAAAAAACAGGTTAGTCGAGGTAATTGAGGTAATATGTACATGTAGGTAGGGGTAAAGTGACTATGCATAGATAATAAACAGCGAGTAGCAGCAGCGTAAAAAAGGGGGTCAATACAAATAGTCCGGGTAACCATTTGATTAACTGTTTAGCAGTCTTATGGCTTGGGGTAGAAGATGTTAAGGAGCCTTTTGGACCTAGACATGGCGCTCCGGTACCACTTGCCATGTGGTAGCAGAGAGAACAGTCTATGACTAGGGTGGCTGGAGTCTGACAATTTTTAGGGCCTTCCTCTGACACCGCCTGGTATAGAGGTCCTGGATGTCAGGAAGCTTGGCCCCAGTGATGTACGCACTATCCTCTGTAGCGCCTTCTGGTCGGATGCCGAGCAGTTGCCATACCAGGCGGTGATGTAACCAGTCAGGATGCTCTCGATGGTGTAGATGTAGAACTTTTTGAGGATCTGAGGACCCATGCCAAACCTTTTTAGTCTCCTGAGGGGGAATAGGCGTTGTCGTGCCCTCTTCACAACTGTCTTGGTATGTTTGGACCATGATAGTTTGTTGGTGATGTGGACACCAAGGAACTTGAAGTTCTCAACCTGTTCCACTACAGCCCCGTCAATGAGAATGGGGGCGTGCTCAGTCCTCTTTTTTTTCCTGAAGTCCACAATCATCTCCTTTGTCTTGATCATGTTGAGGGAGAGGTTGTTGTCCTGGCACCACACTTTCAGGTCTCTGACCTCCTCCCTATAGGCTGTCTCATCGTTGTCGGTGATCAGGCCTACCACCGTTGTGTCGTCGGCAAACTTAATGATGGTGTTGGAGTCGTGCTTGGCCACGCAGTCATGGGTGAACAGGGAGTAAAGGAGGGGACTAAGCATGCACCCCTGAGGGGCCCCCGTGTTGAGGATCAGCGTGGCAGATGTGTTGTTGCCTACCCTACCCTTGCTCACGTTGAGGGAGAGGTTGTTGTCCTGGCACCACACTGCCAGATCTCTGACCTCCTACCAGTAGGCTGTCTCATTGTTGTTGGGGCGGCAGGTAGCTTAGTGGTTAGGAGCGTTGGGCCAGTAACCGAAAGGTTACCCAAGCCGACTATGTGAAACATCTGTTGATGTGCCCTTAAGCAAGGCACTTAAACCAAATTGTAAGTCGCTCTGGATAAGAGTGTCTGCTAAACTGTAAAATCAGGCATGTGTATTTAGTTCTGTTACCACACCATTCTCAATCATATCATCTGACCATACTGTATTCTGCAAATCTATCATCAATCTGCCAAGCATGTTCTGCATCCCGATTCTCCACCAAAGTGTACAATTTAACAATGGTGGAAACTCACTCCAGCCAATGCTTACACCAATCACATGCTTTTGACTGAAGTCCATGACGAGGAGTGTGCAAGGGTGGAGAATTAGGACTCAACTAAAGACAACATCTTTGTCTCCTCATTTCATCCTAACAAACTACTGGCTGGCAGTTGGGTGTGATGCTAGCGTAGCAATGCTATTTAGGCCTGTTATAATGTATTAATTCCGTATGAAGGCCAGACAGTGACATTCTGGCAGCCAGGCAGGACTCGAGGGGGCTAGCGGTGTTAAATATTACCTGCTGGAGCGCGGCGGCAGGAAAAGACGTGCAGGAGTCAAATAACAGCCCCAACGCTAATGCCGGTGCCGTGGCGTGCCACTGATAGGCTTCAACGGCATCTAGCTCCCGCCGCTCGAAATCAGAGAGGGGGGAAAACACAGGCCTGACCGCCTAATTAACTATCAACTAAAACAAGATGGGAATAAACATTAGCCCCGCTTTGGAGGTGCCTTTGTAGAGAGATGTGAGGTGGTGGAGGGAGGGAAGGTGGGAGGGTAGGAGAAAACAGAGGAGGAGGACGAGGAGGTATAACACAGCATTCACAAATTATCCAACAGAATTCTGGAGTTGGGACCCAGCTAGCACATAACGTTCTAAGAACCATACAGTGGCTTGCAAAAGTATTCACCCCCCTTGGCATTTTTCCTATTTTGTTGCCTTGCAACCTGGAATTAAAATTGATTTTTGGGGGGGTTTGTATCATTTGATTTACACAAGATGCCTACCACTTTGAAGATGCAAAATATTTTTTATTGTGAAACAAACAAGAAATAAGACAGAAAAACAGAAAACTTGAGCGTGCATAACTATTCACCCCCCCAAAGTCAATACTTTCTAGAGCCACCTTTTGCAACAATTACAGCTGCAAGTCTCTTGGGGTATGTCTCTATAAGCTTGGCACATCTAGCCACTGGGATTTTTGCCCATTCTTCAAGACAAAACTGCTCCAGCTCCTTCAAGTTGGATGGGTTCCGCTGGTGTACAGCAATCTTTAAGTCATACCACAGATTCTCAATTGGATTGAGGTCTGGGCTTTGACTAGGCCATTCCAAGACATTTAAATGTTTCCCCTTAAACCACTCGAGTGTTGCTTTAGCAGTATGATTGGGGTCATTGTCCTGCTGAAAGGTGAACCTCCGTCCCAGTCTCAAATCTCTGGAAGACTGAAACAGGTTTCCCTCAAGAATTTCCCTGTATTTAGCGCCATCCATCATTCCTTCAATTCTGAACAGTTTCCCAGTCCCTGCCGATGAAAAACATCCCCACAGCATGATGCTGCCACCACCATGCTTCACTGTGGGGATGGCGTTCTCGGGGTGATGCGCCAGACATAGCGTTTTCCTTGATGGCCAAAAAGCTCAATTTTAGTCTCATCTGACCAGAGTACCTTCTTCCATATGTTTGGGGAGTCTCCCACATGCCTTTTGGCGAAGATCAAACGCGTTTGCTTATTTTTTTCTTTAAGCAATGGCTTTTTTCTGGCCACTCTTCCGTTAAAGCCCAGCTCTGTGGTGTGTACGGCTTAAAGTGGTCCTATGGACAGATACTCCAATCACCGCTGTGGAGCTTTGCAGCTCCTTCAGGGTTATCTTTGGTCACTTTGTTGCCTCTCTGATTAATGCCCTCCTTGTCTGGTCCGTGAGTTTTGGTGGGCGGCCCTCTCTTGGCAGGTTTGTTGTGGTGCCATATTCTTTCCATTTTATAATAATGGATTTAATGGTGCTCCATGGGATGTTCAAAGTTTCGGATATTGTTTTATAACCCAACTCTGATCTGTACTTCTCCACAACTTTGTCCCAGACCTGTTTGGAGAGCTCCTTGGTCTTCATGGTGCCGCTTGCTTGGTGGTGCCCCTTGCTTAGTGATGTTGCAGACTCTGGGGCCTTTCAGAACAGGTGTATATATACTGAGATCATGTGCCAGATCATGTGACACTTAGATTGCACACAGGTGGACTTTATTTAACTAATTATGTGACTTCTGAAGGGTAATTGGTTGCACCAGATCTTATTTAGGGGCTTCGTAGCAAAGGGGGTGAATACATATGCACGCACCACTTTTCCATTATTTATTTTTAGGATTTTTTTTAACAAGTTATTTTTTTCATTTCACTTCACCAATTTGGACTATTTTGTGTATGTCCATTACATGAAATCCAAATAAAAATCAATTTAAATTACAGATTGTAACGCAACAAAATATGAAAAACGCCAAGGGGGATGAATACTTTTGCAAGGCACTGTATGTTTCTTGGAGCTTGGTGAGAACGTGGTTGTCATATGGTTAATTTGCATACAACCTTCCCACAACGTTCTGGGAATGGTGCAGGATACCCAGCTAGCACATAACATTCTAAGAACCATTTGTTTCTTAGGTGGTAATTTCAGTACTTCAGGATAATGTTTCCTACAGGTTTCCTCATTGTTCTATTTAAAGTTATGTTCTCAGAATGTTAAGAAACAACGTTCTTCTGTGGGAATTTCAGTACTTCAGCATAATGTTTTCTGCAGGTTTCCTCATGGTTCTATTTAAAGTCATATTCTCAGAACATTAAGAAAACTTTCCATGAAAACCACAAGTAAACATTAGTAAAGTTCAAAGAAAGTTCTAAGAATGTTATTTAACCCTTTAGTTCCCAATAGAATTCTAGAATGCCGATAACTGTGAATTTTCAAGGAAAAGCTAATTTTCTCACACATTTCAAACAAACAAAAGAACACATGACTCAAAAACAAAGAACACATGACAATTACAAGTTAACTTAGTTTTAAAGAGCACAACCTCTTCTTTAATATGACACCACATTCATGTCAATAGGAATAACACTCATTTAGTCTTCCATTGTGTAGACACTCACTATCAAAAAACTATTAACACTCAACACAACAAAAAACCCTAGAGTATTTCAATTGTAGTACATTTGACTAACTTACTCACTTAAAATGTACCAAGTATAATATATTATACTTACAAATATTATATACATATAAATAAATACAAAGATCAAAAATATGAACAGAGGACAATATTCGGAAAGTATTTAAAAACCCACACAAAGTAGGTTATTGGATTGACGATTCTTACTTCTGTAACAATGTAAAAATGCAAACTACTATTCAGAGACTTTTCAAAATGTAGGCAACCTCTCTCAATAAAATTAAGTACAGACCAGAGCTGTGTTCGAATACCCATACTAACATAATGTATACTACATACTTAATGAGTATATACTACATACTATGATTTTATTTTAGTATACTGTAAAAAAACGGTATCCTTTCAGTTGAGTGTACTAGCGCTTCGCCTGTCTACCAGAAGTTGATGCTAGCTTGTGAGCATAGCTAACGAATTACTAGCTAGACATCTTACGACTTCATTAACAATGTCCATTGAGAACGCACAATGACTATACCACTTAGCTAAGCTAAGAATGACGTGAATAATCAAGTTACTAAACATTGGATAGTTAGTTAGATAGATATAGTTAATATACTGGCAAGTTCGATGTATTAGTAGCAAACTAATGTTAGGTAGCTAGCTAACATACCAGTACATACAAGCAACTGCTGTAATGATATGCTATGTGGTTCGTAAGGCTAGCGTAGCTAACAAATTGTCAGCCAACGTAACGTAGCTTATTCGAAAAGTAATTACTTTATTACATTGCTCAACATTTTCTTAACATTTGTCATAATTAGTTAAAGCAATGAATTTGTAACTGCTCTCGTCGGACTTCGGCTGCATATTTTCCGCCCTTTTCTTGAAATCTGAAAATGTTGTGAAGCCACGCTCATTTTCTGAATTGCATTATGGGCCCTAAAAGCACGGAAATAGTTTCCACTGCTTGTATACTTTGTATTTTGGCGAATGTAGTACGGGAGGCAGGTAGCTTAGTGGGTAAGAGCGTTGTGCCAGTAACCGAAAGGTTGCTGGTTCTAATCCCCGAGCCGACTAGGTGAAAAATCTGTCGATGTGCCCTTAAGCAAGGCACTTAACCCTAATTGCTCCTGTAAGTCGCTCTGGATAAGAGCGTCTGCTAAAATGTAAATGTAGTACGACATCCGGGAACTTTTGCCATACTTACTATATCCATACTATGACCAATAAGCATACTATATACTCAGGTCTGACACAAAATGTAGAAATAGTAGCCTACTTTGACAACAATTCAGTCAATGCAACAAGTATTAGATAGAGACAGATAAGGAAAGAAGATACACAACACAACAACTGTTCAGAGACAATAAAAGATTTGTAGGACAAATTCATATTTCACACTGTCACTTTAGTGTTTGCATTTAGCCTACAACATGTCATGGAACTTCTGGAAGCATGGCCCCATCCTGCAAAGTGGCACAGAACACGTAGAGCACCCAAAGGAGGTTTCTACACATCTCCTACTCTTTGCCCTGCGTCCACTCTGGATGCACACCACACCCTCTTTTGTGCCCTTCAAACTTCACCTGCTTTCAAATGAGTTACAACTTGGTCCACACGTCCTGGTGCCACAGTCTTGGCTCCCTTCTTCCTGCCACTGTAGCCATATCACAAAGTGAATGCACAAGCTGCATTTTGAATGCCTTCAGGGAACAGCGCCTGCAGTTTCTGGGAAGGGGCCTTTGTAGGGTCCCCCACACAATGTATGCATTTATGATGGCAATATTGAGCATCCTCCAAAACACATACTTCCACAATTTTCTGGTCAAGATGGTCAACCCCGCCTATTTTTTGTTGTTGTAATCTATTACAAGCTCTAGAACAGATAGAAGTTCCTACCACTTTTAAAAACAACTCCAAAACCCCTGCCACTTTAGGCCCAGGCTGTGTGGTACAAGGGTGAATGGTGGGACTTAGGGCAGACACACGCCATGGAAATGTAGGCTCCCCTCTCGGGTGTGCTCTCCTTCGTCCCCTCCCTCTTCCTCCTCCTCTCCCTCTGCTTCCTTCTCTCCCTCTGTTTCATCCTCTCCCTCTGCTTCATGCTCCTCCTCTCCCTCTCCCTTCCTTATGTTCCTCTCCCTCCACTCTTTTCTCCCTCCTCTTCACTCTCCGCTTCATCTCTCCCTCCTTTCTCTCTCCCTCTACTCTCCCTCCTCTTCCTCTCTCCCTCCACATGTCTATCCCTCCAATCATCTCTAACTCCTATTCCTCCCTGCAACAAATGGGATACAATAGTAGTCAGGAACATGACTCTTCCTTCCTCTCTTTCTTTTTCTCAACCATACACATACTCTCTTCCTAATAAGGCGTTCCATAATAAATTGTGTGACACGCCTCCCATTCCACACACACACTCTCGCTCTCTTCCAATCAACTCTTGCTTTCTTGCCTGACAGACTAACTACAGAGTTCGCCAATGTTAGCTGATGAGTTACGAAGCTGGGACAGTTTCCAAATGAATTGCATCGGTAGAAACTGGACAAAACAAGCAAATTGTTAGTTGGCTATTTAAACAAATATCCAACTCATCATATGAGCTCCACTGCGTGGGCATCTACTACCGTAACATGACAGCTAAGCTGTCAAATAATTGGAAAACGTGGCAATGTATAGTCCATTAATATCTTCACCTAGCAAACATGACAAACCATAACCTAAGCCCAACAGATAAACACAATTTACTCTAGCCTCCATTTCGGTGGCTAGTTAGCTGGTTGTCTGTATGGCTAGTTAGTGAAAGTGACAGCTGAGGTTGACGCTTCGTGAGCACAGGCCAAATTTAGCACTACACACAACTTTACTTGCCTGACAGACTAACTAGTTAGCAAGCTAGCTATAACAAGCAGCTTGGGCCGTTTCCATATGAATTACATCGGTAGAAACAAGACACAACAACCAACTAGTTAGCTGACTATATACAACTAAACACTGCAACTAAACTCAGCAAAAAAAGAAACGTCCCCTTTTCAGGACCCTGTCTTTCAAAGATAATTCGTAAAAAAATCCAAATAACTTCACAGATCTTCATTGTAAAGGGTTTAAACACTGTTTCCCAATGTTTCCCAATGAACCATAAACAATTAATGAACATGCACCTGTGGAACGGTCGTTAAGACACTAACAGCTTACAGACGGTAGGCAATTAAGGTCCCAGTTATGAAAACTTAGGACACTAAAGAGACCTTTCTACTGACTCTGAAAAACACCAAAAGAAAGATGCCCAGGGTTCCTGCTCATCTGCGTGAACGTGCCTTAGGCATGCTGCAAGGAGGCATGAGGACTGCAGATGTGGCCAGGGCAATAAATTGCAATGTCCATTCTGTGAGACGCCTAAGACAGCGCTACAGGGAGACAGGACGGACAGCTGATCGTCCTCGCAGTGGCAGACCACGTGTAACAACACCTGCACAGGATGGGTATATCCGATCATCACACCTGCGGGACAGGTACAGGATGGCAACAACAACTGCCCGAGTTACAACAGGAACGCACAATCCCTCCATCAGTGCTCAGACTGTCCGCAATAGGCTGAGAGAGGCTGGACTGAGGGCTTGTAGGCCTGTTGTAAGGCAGGTCTTCACCAGACATCACCGGCAACAACGTCGCCTATGGGCACAAACCCACCGTCGCTGGACCAGATAGGACTGGCAAAAAGTGCTCTTCACTGACGAGTCGCGGTTTTGTCTCACCAGAGGTGATGGTCGGATTCGCATTTATCGCTGAAGGAATGAGCGTTACACCGAGGCCTGTACTCTGGAGCGGGATCGATTTGGAGGTGGAGGGTCCGTCATGGTCTGGGGCGGTGTATCACAGCATCATCGGACTGAGCTTGTTGTCATTGCAGGCAATCTCAACGCTGTGCGTTACAGGGAAGACATTCTCCTCCCTCATGTGGTACCCTTTCTGCAGGCTCATCCTGACATGACCCTCCAGCATGACAATGCCACCAGCCATGCTGCTCGTTCTGTGCGTGATTTCCTGCAAGACAGGAACGTCAGTGTTCTGCCATGGCCAGCGAAGAGCCCAGATCTCAATCCCATTGAGCACGTCTGGGACCTGTTGGATCGGAGGGTGAGGGCTAGGGCCATTCCCCCCAGAAATGTCTGGGAACTTGCAGGTGCCTTGGTGGAAGAGTGGGGTAACATCTCAAAGCAAGAACTGGCAAATCTGGTGCAGTCCATGAGGAGGAGATGAACTGCAGTACTTAATGCAGCTGGTGGCCACACCAGATACTGACTGTTACTTTTGATTTTGACCCCCCCCCCCTTTGTTCAGGGACACATTATTCGATTTATGTTAGTCACATGTCTGTGGAACTTGTTCAGTTTATGTCTCAGTTGTTGAATCTTGTTCTGTTCATACAAATATTTACACATGTTAAGTTTCCTGAAAATAAATGCAGTTGACAGTGAGAGGACGTTTCTTTTTTTGCTGAGTTTATTTCCATGAGACAGAGAGCAATCATTTGAGCGCCACCGCTGATGTGCTCGCCTGTACCAACCAAGTTATCATGACATGACAGAACTTGCTAATCAGTTAGCTATTCCCCAAGTTTTACAGCATCAAACATCGACAACACCAAACATATATCTGCTGTTTACTTATTTCACTCACCTTGACATCATTGCTTTCAAAGTGCAAGGACTTGTGCGAATCCGTACCATATCTGTATCACCAACCAACATAGATAAAGCCTCTTTCACAGTGAAAAGTAAAATGTCAGCATACCCTATTTCCGCCAACAGCAAATACGACAACAGATTGTTAGCAAGTACATTTTGCGATATTCACTGTTAATGAACATAAACAGATTTAGTATCTCATGTCTTCCACGCATAGCCTACAAGCCACTGATGCAGTCCTTTGGAGCATGTACATTTAAAAAAGTCTAAATCCATGTAATATAGCCTATACCATCACAATAAATCCATTGTTTATTTTAGACAGGTCTAAAGAAACATGATATGAAGAAAATGTAGTCTATTTCTGTCACGATCGTTAGTTAGAGAGGACCAAGGCGCAGCGTGTTGAGCGAACATACTTTAATTGTAAAGTGCACACACGAATACAAAACAATAAACGATACGTAACGTCCTCAGACAAATGACTGACAAGGAACAAAAACCCACAACCCCAAGGTGAAAACAGACAGTATAAATATGGCTCCCAATCAGAGACAACGAGCCAACAGCTGACACTCGTTACCTCTGATTGGGAGTCACTCCTTCAAACAAAGAAATACAACCCAACAGAAATACCAACATAGAAATACACCCAATGAATGAACACACCCTGGCTCAACATACAGAGTCCCAGAGCCAGAGCGTGACAGTACCCCCCCCTAAAGGCGCGGACTGCGACCGCGCCTCAATACGGGCTAAACAAGGGAGGGCTGGGCGGGCATACCTCCTCGGCGGTGGCTCTGGCTCCGGCCTTGATCCCCACCTCCTCTCCAACCCCCCAAAGTACCCCTGGTCCTGTCTAGCCCCGCTGGCCGGAGCCGGACTGACGACACGCGCCCCTGGCTTGGTGCGTGGAGGACGAACGGGCCTTACCAGGCTGACGACGCGCACCACTGCCTTGGCGCGGGGAGCAGGAATGGGCCGGACCGGGCTGACGAAGCGCACCCCTGACTTGGTGCGGAGAGCGGGACCGGGCCGGACAGTGCTGACGATTCGCACCCTTGGCTTGGTGCGAGTAGCAGGAACGGGCTGGACCAGGCCGACGACTCGTACCCCTGGCTTGGTGCGAGTAGCAGGAACGGGCTGGGCCAGGCTGACGACTCGCACCCTTGGCTTGGTGCGAGTAGCAGGGACGAGCTGAACCAGGCTGACGACTCGCACCCTTGGCTTGGTGCGAGTAGCAGGAACGGGCTGGACCAGGCCGACGACTCGTACCCCTGGCTTGGTGCGAGTAGCAGGAACGGGCTGGGCCAGGCTGACGACTCGCACCCTTGGCTTGGTGCGAGTAGCAGGAACAGGCCGGGCTGGGCTGGCGACGCACACCGTAGGCTTTGTGCGTTGAGCAGGAACAGGCCGGGCTGGGCTGGCGACGCACACCGTAGGTTTTGTGCGTGGAGCAGGAACAGGCCGGGCTGGGCTGGCGACGCACACCGTAGGTTTTGTGCGTTGAGCAGGAACAGGCCGGGCTGGGCTGGCGACGCACACCGTAGGTTTTGTGCGTGGAGCAGGAACAGGCCGGGCTGGACTGGCGACGCACACCGTAGGCTTTGTGCGTTGAGCAGGAACAGGCCGGGCTGGGCTGGCGACGCACACCGTAGGTTTTGTGCGTGGAGCAGGAACAGGCCGGGCTGGGCTGGCGACGCACACCCTAGGCTTGGTGCGAGTGGCAGGAACAGGCCGGGCCGGGCTGGCGACGCGCACCGTAGGTTTGGTGCGAGGAGCAGGAACAGGCTGGACCGGGCTGGCGACGCGCACCGTACACTTGGTGCGAGGGGCTGGAACAGGCCGGACCGTACTGGGGACACACACCACTGGCTCTACCTCGGGATCTGGAACGGGCCGGACCGGACTGGTAACACACCCCAGTACCTCTCGCCGTGCCTCTACACCTTCCCTCCCTGCTTTGACCAGTGGCCCCCGTAACCTGGTGGCCTTCTGAATCCGCCCCTTTTCTGCCTCCGTCAGCCCCGTCGTCCATGCCGTGTGCCCCCCCCTAAAATTTTTTTGGGGTTGCCTCTCGACCGTCCAACGCTGACACTGCTTACGCCGTTGCTCCTCTCTCCGTCGCCTCTCAATTGTCTCACTCCATGGCCGGCGATCCATCCCGGCCAGGATCTCCTCCCAGGTCCAGGACCCCTGCCCGTCCAAAATCTGTTCCCACGTCCAGGCTGCCGATTCCTGGACACGCTGCTTGGTCCTGGTATGGTGGGTTTTTCTGTCACGATCGTTAGTTAGAGAGGACCAAGGCGCAGCGTGTTGAGCGAACATACTTTAATTGTAAATGCAACACACGAATACAAAACAATAACGATACGTAACGTCCTCAGACAAATGACTGACAAGGAACAAAAACCCACAACCCCAGGTGAAAACAGACAGTATAAATATGGCTCCCAATCAGAGACAACGAGCCAACAGCTGACACTCGTTACCTCTGATTGGAGTCACTCCTTCAAACAAAGAAATACAACCCAACAGAAATACCAACATAGAAATACACCCAATGAATGAACACACCCTGGCTCAACATACAGAGTCCCAGAGCCAGAGCGTGACAATTTCAGAAGAACAGAATAGCATACTCTGCGTTGTCCTTATGTTAGGCCCTGATCTGCCATATGGCTGTGGGCTACACTAGTTTATTTAGCAGACGAGATTTGTTTAGCATTCCATAGCATTATTTTATATTTTTATAGTATGAAGAATACAATACAACATATCTGAATAAAATATAAAGGATATTTTCTCCAAACGATTTGCGGCTATTCTGTGTTGAGCGGTTAGCAAAGAAACAGGTACTCCTATATGCTTAATTTAGAGTTATTTATGTAACTTTAGTTGTGATACAAATGTTGGGCTATATGTTTTGATTTTTAATACATTCTAAGTCTGCATGATGCGACTCTAATGATGATTTGAAAAAAGTTGCATGAAAGGCATGAGCTTAGTTTTTGCGCAGGCTGTACACACTTCATCAGTCTCTCATTCACAATTTGACAAGCACTTGATAATGCCTCAAATTTCCCGGCTGCATCCCCTTTGTGTGGCCAAAATCCTCCTAAAAAAATCCATGCCTTTTGTGGCCAGTGGGCTGAATATAATAATTATAATTCCCTTCTCCCCGCTGCGTGATCGGGTCTTTCTCAAAGGCTACAAGTAAAGAAAGACACATCGGGGACGCAACTGCGTGCATCCTTATCCGATTCAACTGCGTGCGATTGGTCCGATTCAATTCGAGGCGCATATTGAAGATATTTGAAGAACTGTCCACATTTACTTTTCGTCAGCCAACAAGATGAGTAGGCCTAACGAACAGCAAAAGCACTAGCCTATGTCAATCTACTATCCCCCATAGTACAAAAGTTGACTTATTCTATTCTGTGCGAGAAATAAATATTCCAAACATAGTCCGGGACAGTTGTGGGATGCGATAGATCCCTAATACAACCAATAGCATAAAAAAACCTGTTTTAAGCAATGAGCTTGACGCAACAGATGAGAACGTTTAGCTTAAAATGTTGATAAACTATTAGGCTATTTCTTCACATTATAAGCGCAGCAATGTGCACACGGCAGTAGGCTATAAGCACGGATGTTCCATTAGCAGGAAAACACCATTCTCAAAAGTGACCACAAATGTGATTATGCATGTAATACTTTTATTATAAAGGTGCATTTTTATGGTGAAAATTATCTTCCCCAAACGTGAAACTCACGCGCTGCGTATGTATGCCAGTTAGGCTCTACACCCGTTGTAAAGCGGATTAATGTGCTTCATTTTAAGAAGTTATTTGGCCACTTTAGTTGTGATACAAACTTGATCAAAACATAATAATAATTAATATGCCATTTAGCAGACGCTTTTATCCAAAGCGACTTACAGTCATGCGTGCATACATTTTTGTGTATGGGTGGTCCCGGGGTATAGGCGTATGGGCTAGGCTACATGAGGTGTGCGACTATGATTTGAAATTTGAGAAATTTGATTTGATTTAGAATGGACCATTATAATGCACTTGTCTCGAAACAGGGACAGCGGGAAAACAATACATGTCATCTATGCACTTAAATAGCGAATGGAGGACGCTTTTCTCGTGGTTCATTTTCATGCCAGCCAGGTAGGCTATACTCCTGTTGTAAAGAGACACAATATGCTTAATATTAAGAAGGTTGAGAAATAAATATAGTAGGCCTAGCCTATAGAAAGCTGATGGCATCCTCCTCTTTTTAATAGAGGCCATCACTCTGTTTTCTCACGCAATTGCATAGTCTATAGAAATGTTGCGCAACATGAACTCATGGGCTTTCATGAAGTGTTTGATTTGACATTTGCATTGATGTCAGAGTGATTTGAGTGAAAATAGAGTGCTGAGTACCAGGCAGTTAACAAGTTTGGTAGGCTACTAATGACCATCAGCAACATCAGAGCTTGGAGAAGCCTAATTACCCTGACTAAACAGTCACATGGAATTTGACAGCCATCATGACTCGTGACCGCCGGTGTGGCGGTAATACGGTCACCTTAACAGCCCTAATCATAGGTTTGAATATCACTAATGCCGTGCCACAATAAAAAACAAATGTGTTTGCATGATTAATGCCTAAGCAAATGAATTTCTATGTGTTCAATCTGTGCTTGGAGTTCAAAACAGTTAACCCAAACTAAGCTAGCAGAGGTATTAAAAGATTCAGTGAAAGTTTTAAGAAAGCCTCCAAATAACCTATAATTTCCCTTCTCAGAATGCTTAAAAAACGTTCCGTCTTACTGGTCAGGAAACTTATGGCTTCGTTCCCAGAACCAATGGGAAATCAAAAACGTACGTTCCCACAACTTCCAAGGAACCAAATGTGCTAGCTGGGGAGCTGTGTGTTTGTTGTTCCTTGTCAAGATCACATGGAGATGGCTAAAGCAAACAGAGAAGTTTGGCTGCGAGCATATTGGGCGCTTTAATAATTGATCGGTGAGGCACATTCACAGTGCCAGACCTTTCTCTGATCCCTGCACAGCTTGCTACCCAATATACATGTTGTTTCTAAAGATATGCTACTGTAAAAATCAATATACACTGCTGTTATGCTACTGTTAGCCTGAACCGTACCCTGCCATTTCAATAATACAATCTTTCTCATAAACACGGTCGGCAGAGCCAAACTACAGAGCCCCATCTCTTGAAACTCTCTACTTGGACTCTACCAACAGCAGCACTGTCGGTCTGTCTGTCCTCCTCCTGCTGTCAGAGTGATTGCTGAGAGGAATCAGCCCAAGATGAGGTGGCCTCTGCTGCTGTGAGAGAGAGAGATGTCCTGGTCACTGCTGCCCCAGACCCAGCTCTATGGCTGGCAGATTGCCGGCTACGGATCGGCTAATTAACGTAAAGAGAGTAGGACCCCCGTCCTCCTTCTCATCCCCCTCTCCTCTCTTTCATCTCCGTGTGAAAACAAGTACGGCCTGTAAACACCATACACTAAAATGTGTCCAAATAGGAACGCAAAGCACTCTGGTAACTGGTTTTCCCAGCTAACACTCAATTACAGCAAAGTATAATATCATGACTCATTTTGACACTCGGCTCGGAAAATGGTAGCAGAAAATGTGATTTTCTACCCGTTTGGTTAAGGTACTCTGTTGCACACAAGAAAGTACTCTCTGTACCTTTCTGCTGCATTATAAATAACAGACAGGCATACATATAACATTCAGAAAAGACCGCCTCTTCTTGTTAAAGTACAATTGGAGTGATACCGACCTCTCGTCAAAGTGCTACTGAGATGCACTGAAGAAGCAATCAGTTGTCAGAGCAAGTCAACACTCTCAACCAGGCCTTGAATTACACGTAGAGGAGCTCTTGTGATGGCGTCTTTTGAATAGGGAGTGAGGAGAGGTGGGGGAGAGGTGAGTTGTGCCCTCCAGCCATGCAGGGTCAAAGGTCAGACTACTCACCTATTCTGAAGGAGAGCGGCCCAGCGGAGGTACATCTCACCCACATGGCTAAGAGGAGCAGAGGCGCCCAGGCTGCGAGCATCTTCTATGACTCCTCATGGGTCCTGCCCCGGGGGTCCCCCTGTCACAGCCACCTGGAGAACACAACACACGGATGTATGGATTATATAGAAGCCTGGAACATACCCACGTACACATGCAGACTAGCACATGTAGTAGTTTATGGGTTTTTGCACACGATCACAGACAGATTCTGATCCTGGATCAGCTTAGCACCTGTTCCACATGATGCCAGTCATGTGTGAAATCAAACTACATCTGATCCAAATTCATTCGGGTGTGACCATAGAAAAATAATAGATATAGAATCTATGATGCGCACACACACATGCTCACAAGCATCTAAACACATACACGCAGGCACGCACAGACACATACGCACGCACACACACGCACACACACACCCACGCAAGCAAGCAAACACACACACACACATACTGAGAACACAAAGCAACCACCATCTATCTTCACCTCAGCCTCAATAAATTAAAGGCCTTTTTCATTTATCTCTTTAAACCATTCATCACTCATGATTGTGAGTTTCATCTATGCAAGTCCATTAAAATATCCTTGAAATAAATGTCAGTGTTTCTCGTCAGGAGAATGCATTTGCATCCAATAGCCTTGTGATGAATGGTCATCTGTGTCATCAGGCCTGCAGCATCTTCTCTCTTATTATTGGAGGCTCTTAAAAAATAAATATAATTGTATAGAATTAGAAAGTAAGTAATTATATACTCTTTATATTCTCTATATCCTGATTTCCTGACATTGCTATTACTTGTTCTAGGACCCGGCGTTTTCCATAATCATGTGACCTGATCAGGAAAAACTCTGGTCCCTAGTTCTAGACTATGGCTTACTCATCTATGGAGGTTATATAGCTGGACCAAATAGGAAATGACACAGACAGAACTGTGTCAGTCAGTAACGAGGAGCTGGTTAAGTAGGCAAATACATACTCCTATTTTTTCCCCCAATTTTTCTAATGGGTGCAATTCTGAACAATAGAGATAGATAGAGAGAGAATGGTTTATTTAACAAATTCGGCATTACAAAGTATCAATAGCAGCTAATGCTGAATTATTTGACACAATTTACATAAATACACTATGCACAAGAAACCATCAACGCAATAAAAACAATAGCCATTTCAGACATCAGTATATTCAATTGACACAATCACTGGTTCACTGCAGCTCAATGACTTAATTCTTTACAGGGTGTGTGTTGACATTATGATCTGACCGAATATCACATCCTTCACCTACATTAGTACGTCAGCATGTGTGGTTGAGTACGATAACAGGCAAAGATACCAACTAGCTGCTCACTTTATCTGCTGATTAACATAGAGAGTATTCGTTTTGAAACATCACACCTGCCAGCATATTTCTCAAGGTGGACTCTCAGGGACAGAGAGAGATATGGCTGTCATCAAATCACCACCATTTCCTGAGAAGCTTCCGGAAAAACTGTATGCAAATAACAGCTGGCTCCCTCTAACATGCTCCGTAATTCCTTGATCGCAGCAGGAAAACAACAATTCGAAAAACATACACAAAGCTGAATCAATTCGCCTAAATGCAATTATAGCCAATCAACTTGGGTAGCTTGTCATGGGTCGTGCACAGCGGCCTGCCCTACTGAATATCGAATGAGAGGAGAGAGGGCTTCTGCGAGTTGCCGTGGAGCAGTTGACAGAATCAGCCACATTAATGGGCAGTCGATGAGAATGGCACAAGTCTCTCTAGTCTCGTGCACACTGTGGAAATGACACAAACCTGCTCTTTTCACAAACTTCTGATGGTGAGATGAAATCATGTGTTTACATCCATATATGAACAATACAGGAGCAACAAACCACATGGTGACAGTGGGACACGTCACTTGTCGCTCTCAATACGACTATGAGAAAGACATACAATGTAACTCTCCTGAAGTACCATTCTACAGGTGTGATAATTGGCGCAGAAGGAAACAGTGCTCCCACGTAAACCCAGACAGGCCATTAAAAGTGTTGTAGCCACATTCTCAACAGGGGGGTGACATAACATGTCATGTATTGTTGAAATGTTCCCTTTTGTTTACCCCACTTACAGAAATGTCATTATCCTCTAGGAGAAAGGGATGAAAAGGGGTTGAAACTCCCAGTGTGATCATCATAACAGATCAGCAGTGCATCATTTATCAAACTGCAACATGAAACCGGCATCAGAACAAGCTGCTAGTGCTGACTTGACTACCCAACTGGTATAACTTGTGCCTCACACACATCCACTGATCCACACACACGCACGCCTCCATGTGAATTAATTAAAAAGTGGTGTGAGGGTTTCATTTAATAGGGCACAAGGCTCCAAACCAAATTAAGTGGTGACAGACAGTTATATGAGAGGCTGATCTCTCTCTGTGGCGGAAGGCTGAAAAGTAACATTCTCAGCAGAGTCTGAAACGTTTGCTGCATGTTGTGTCAACGCTACAATAAAATCTCTAAGCAGATCTGGCAGTGGTGTCTGGGATTCGGCGTCCATTAAGCACGCTGAAATACTGCCTGTGTTTAACTTCTGGGAGAAATATATCAGCTGGGGAGTCAATTCATATCAAGAGGATGCAGCTTGGAGAGGGCAGGGTGTGAACGGCTGTAAATACAGAAGCCACAGATACTGATTGGGGTAAATGGCCTACTGACTGACTGGCTAGGAAGACGTAGCTCACCACTGAACACAGAACCTTTGATCATCTATCGGACGAGACCTCCAAGATGATCGACTCCAAAACGAGTCATCTTCTCACATTCAATGAACATTTTACGTAAAAATTAAAGTGTTGAATGGTGAGACAAGGTTTTTAACAAAGTTGATTAGGTTCCCAACTTATTATTCATATTGTTGTGAGGTAAAGTAGCCTGACATCTGACAGGCAGATCAGGAAGAAGCCTTGTACAAACATTGAATATCAGAGCGTTTTGATGGTTTTGATGGTAATCATGTTTGTAACAGCTGTCAGGAGAAAGATAAAAACAAACCTAAATATCAAAGCTGTCAGTCATGGATGTGTCAGGATGTCAGAAGCTCACTCTGAATCGACGCCAAGTGCTCATTACAACTGTCAGTTCAACCAAACATGTCAAGGAGATGGTGTTTATTTGCATGCCACTGTACAATTGACATGAGTTCAGAATGTTGAACCTAAAAGTTAGCAAAGAAAGAACTGGGGTGTTTGAGAGGATATGCATCTTCATTTGTGGTTCCTTACGATGCAGATGGGACATATGGTGTTGAGTTGAATATTTGAGACTAGAGACCATTGGTTCTCAGCCTGGGATACTAGTACCCCTGGGCGTACCTGGCCTAGCCACATGGAGTAGTTGGGAAGACTCATGAGAACATTGGCCTAATGATCAGTTGCATCTGAGGGTGTACTTTAGGCAGAGCAAAATGTGATTGGTGGTTTAGTAACCACAGAACATTGAGAACCACAGCTTTATACAATATGACAAATATGGCTAGACAAATGAAATGACTGCAGGTCACAGCAGGGCCAGCCAACCATTGCTCCATGAATTGGTGTGCTGTATAGGTCTGATAAGAGAACGCCCACTACATATTGATCCAGCATGCCAGCAAGGGAGAGTCACACAGCATCACCATACAATAACAGTTGTGGGCTTTTAAAAGTTAGGTTGTACTGCGATATTGGCAAAACAATTGCTGCAATGCATGGTACATATTTATTTTTTTTACTACTTTTTTAGTGGCTGCAACTGTACCACTGTATGCTTTTTTAATACATTACATCAGAAAAAGTGAGAAAACGATGAAAAATGACCTTTTTAACAAAAAATGACTGACTTGTCTTGACACAACAAAACCAGAATACCAGGTGTTGGTGGCAGAGATAACATTATTATCACACTTCCATCCATCCCCTGACAACATTGACTGTTGAGACGCTTTGGGGGAATTGACTCCATACCAAACAGAATATTCTGCATCAGAGTGCCTGGAGATATCTTCAGTGCTACAACTGAGACCTCAACTGACCTTTGGCAGGTTGCAAACAGATGCATTATTAAAACAGCATCACTATTCAGTGAGTCAGAGGGCTTTTGCTGTTCCATTTGAAAGCAGTAGCAGTATCAGCAGCTCCCATAAAAAAGAATGGCTGGTGATTCAGGATGCTCATGTAAACTGAATCACCGTACTGCTATAGCTGCTAGTGCCGGCCCAGGCCGGGGTCACCCTTGGGTCTGTCTTTAACGCACAGAGAAACCACGATCTCGCCTGATGTCTTTGCTCGCCAAATCATTCCTCCCCGCCAACGTTTCTACCCCGAGCAACAACTCTGCTCTACCTGAATTAGT